GCGCCATGCTCGCCGCCGCCGCCGTCGACGACATCCACCCCTACGAGGTCCTTCGCAAGCGCCCGCCGCCGGCCGGCTGCGATCCCTGTCGGCTCCAGGACTACCTCTCCGCGGCTGAGTTTGCCGAGGTCTTTGGCATGGATCGCGAAGCGTTTGATACGCTCCCTGGCTGGCGGCAGACCAAGCTGCGCAAAGCCAAGAAGCTGTTTTGATAACACGTTCTCTGTCGGCGCACGGAAGCAGAGTTAGCACGACTACACACACCCCACTTCAGAGCAAGAGCAATGAAGGGAATTGCAACAATTGCCATGGTGGCCCTGCTTGCGGCCGTTGCTGTCGGCTTTGTGCTCCCGGGCCAGCCGGCGACGCCCAAGTTTGAGCAGTACGCTGGCTACATCGAGGTGGACCCGGCCAACCAGGCCGAGTACTTCTACTGGCTCATGGAGTCGCAGAACGACCCTGCCAACGACCCTGTTGTGCTTTGGATGACGGGTACGTGCTGTGCTGAGAGGGAGGGGAGAGGGAGGGGGGAGGGGGGGCAGTGTGGGCGGTGTGGGCAGGTAGGTTCGCTTGGCGGTGGGCCTTGGCGGAGAGGTCACGTGCGAGGGTCGGCGCGAGGGGGACCACCGGCTACAGAGCCAAGGATCGGACGAGCCACTCACAGGAGATGGAATTATGGCTACGCGGGCGGGCGACATGGGCGGGCGACACGGGCGGGCGACATGGACGGGCGACACGGGCGAGCTTTAGGCGGCCCTGGGTGCTCGTCGGAGCTGGCGGCGCTGTTTGAGAACGGCCCGTTCCGTGTCAAGGACGACCTGACGCTCGAGTACAACCCGGGCTCGTGGAACACGGTGGCGAACATGATCTACATCGACCAGCCGACGGACGTCGGGTTCTCGACGGGCGTGGACAAGGTGACCGACGAGGCGCAGATGGCAACCAACATGCTGGCGTTCTTCAAGGGCTTCTTTGAGAAGTACCCGCACCTCCTGGACAACCCGCTGTACATCACCGGCGAGAGCTTTGGCGGCCACTACGTGCCGAGCCTTGGCGCGGCGATCCTGCGGCAGGAGGCGTCCGGCAACGGCATTGGCCTCAACCTCAAGGCCATCGAGATCGGAGACGGCTGGGTCGACCCGCTCCTGCAGTACGGCTCGTTTGCGCCGTACTCGCTCAAGTACGGGCTCATCTCTTCGTCCGAGGCCAAGTCGCTCGACGCAGCGTACAAGCGGTGCGCCGAGCTGATCAAGATCGGGGCGACGACGCTGGCGTCTGTCGAGTGCAACTCGATCGAGTCGCGCGCCATCGGGAGCCACAACCCGTACAACCGCAAGCTCCCGTGCGTCGTGCCCGGCCTCTGCTACAACTTTACCCTCCAGACTGACTACATGAACCTGCCGGCCGTCCAGCAGGCACTCGGCGTCAACAAGGACTGGTCCGTCTGCGTCCGCTCGGCCATCACCGCCAAGGACTCGATTTCCTCGTTTGCCGACGAGGTCAAGTACGTGCTCGAGTCTGGCGTTCCGGTCTGGACCCTCAACGGCGAGCTCGACATCATCTGCAACTACCTCGGCGTCCAGGCCTGGATGGACGACCTGCAGTGGTCCGGCCAGTCCGGCTACAACGCCGCCTCGTACAAGCCGTGGTCGTACAAGGAGAACGGCCAGACCAAGGTCGGCGGCTCGTACAAGGCCTTTGGCAACTTCTCCTACGTCTCGGTCGAGGAGGCCGGCCACATGGTTCCGCAGGACTCGCCCTATGGTGCCCTCTACGTCTTCAAGGCCTTCCTCTCCCAGCCGATGTTCTCGGGCTAAGCCAACCTTGCCGACAGCACAGCACACAATGCATGAAATTTTGATCGCGAGGCCTCCTCACTGCCATTCTCGCATGTGCCAACGAGCATATTCCCCGCCCCGCACACGTGACCTTCCCCTACCCCACTCTCCCCACGCCGACCATGCCTTCCGCCTACCCCGCTGTGCTCGCGGTCGTTCTCGCCCTTGGCCTCGCGCTGCTTGCTGCCGCCTCCAGCGACACCACCACTCCGCCGCCTCCGGCCGTCATGCCGGCCACGTTCTTTGCATCGTTTGAGGAGACGGTGTACAAGGACGGCAAGCCGACAAACGATCCGGTCGCCGACGGCTTCTTTGGCTACACGTACACCGACAACTTTGTGGCATCGATCACCTTCCGCAACAACGGCATCGAGAACCCCGTGTGCCAACTGGTCCAGACCCCGTCAACCATTGCTGCCAACGCGTCGTGCACTCAGTACGCGTACGGCGACGGATCGCGGACCATCACCTACGGCGAGTCCAAGGACCCGGACTTTTGCTGCGTCCTCCAGCCGGCCGGCTCGTTCTGGGGCCCGGTGCTCCCGAACTGGGCCGCTGCGGGCTCGTACGTCGGCAACGTCACCGTCGGCGACGGCGTCTGCGCCCTCTACGAGGTCAAGGCCGCCACGCCCAACGCCGTCGACACCATCTCCATCGAGTGGGGCACCGGCCGCCTCTGTGGCATCGGCAACGCCGGCGGCCACGGCCTTCTCACCGTCATGGTCCTCAACCTGGACACGTACTCTCCCAAGCCGCTCCCGGAGGCCGCCTTTGACGTCCCCGCTGCCTGTGGCTCGAACATCGCCAAGTGCGTCTTCAAGTCCTAGCCGTGGCACTCTACGCTTTTCGACAGGTTTGCGGTCGTGGTGACCAGGTGCGGCGTACTTCATCATGGAATTCTCCGCATCTAAACACAAACATCCCCTCCACACTCTCTGTCTCCTCCTTAAACACCTCGCTAAAAGCAAGTAACTGCCTCAAGCATACTCCCTCTTTCAGGTACAAGCAACGATGGGCGCAGGATCTTCAACAAGCTGCTCAGCTGGGGAGGGCGGGTGCGGGGTGCGGAGCCAATTTACCGAAAGCAGCTGCTCTATCCGCTGACTCGCCCCTTATCCACTGTCTACACAATTCTTCTCTCGCTGCCAACCATCGTGAAACTCTAAATTGGCTGCGCTGTGCACAACGCCAGGTGTCTCTCCACATCCCCCACGCTACTACTACCGCGCCAGCTTGCCCACGCTACTCCCTCGCGGAATCCCTGTCAGCGACCGAGCCCCCAGTCGCCCGTGTGGTCAAAACCCCCTGCTGTTTGACCAGCCTTCGTGAAGACGACCGCCCAAAAAAATTCCACTTTGTCCGCTTCTTCGCCCGGCCCCTACGGCTCAGCTCGTGACCAGTGCTTCGTTCCCCCCCCTTGCCCTTCCGCCGGTGGATATGTTTGGATCGTGGTCACGGACCGCGCGCGACCATTACTTCCTCCCGATGACCAAGCCATCGCCATCGGCCGCCCAAGGCGGCAAAGCACAACCTGCCGGCTCTCAAAGTGGAGCAGCGTTGCGTAGCGAGCTCATGTTCGCGAATTGGCAAACGGCGACGGTGGCGGTGGCGAGCAAAAGCGTGCACGGGGACACACTCGACGCACCCAACATGGACTCCTTCCCGACGGTGCCTGCGCTAGGCATTGACGTTCTCCCCAAGGGCGTCCTCCCCTCGCCGTCGGTCCCCCGCTCGGCCTCTCACCCAACACGGCCACCAACATGTTTGTCGACTCCATTCTCGGCCCCGGGCCAGGCCATCCCACAGCAGGCACCGCCTACGGCGCGTTGACCACCCCGCTGCCGTCTGCACCGACCTACAACAGCGACTCCGCCACCGCAAACTCACAAGCCGACGTCCCTGCCGAGTCGAAGAAGAACTCGGCGTCGGCAAACTCGTCGTCCCCGCGCCCGTCGCGTCAGGCCAAGGCCAAGGCCAATTCCAAGATCGCCGCCTCGGCCTCGGTCCCGCCGCCGCCGTCGAACATCACCATCCCGACCATGCCGCTGGTGCCATCGTCGGTCACAGAAGCCATTCCCGTCGTCGTCTCGTCGGGTACCAACCTGACCGACGAGGACGTTGTCGGCGTCAACGCCATCACCGTCAAGGAGGTCAAGAAGACGCTGACCCGTCGCGAGCGGAACCGCGTCTCGGCGAAGAACTCGCGCAAGAAGAAGAAGGCCCAGCAGGCCGCGCTCAGCGAGCAGATCGACGAGCTCAAGTTGAAGCTACAGACGCTGCAGGACAAGTACGACACCGTCGTCGCCTCAGAGGCCGCCCTCAAAGAAGAAAATGCTTACCTCAACTCGGTCCTGCACTCGCAGTCGGAACTCGCCGACCTGCTCGTCGACATCAAGCCGCGCCTCATGGCCGCCTCTCGCAAGCGCAAGCGCGACGCCGCCGTCTTGGGCCTTCCCGAAGCCGCCGCGCCCTCCGGGCCGCCTGCCGTCTGCCTCACCGTCTCTACTGGCGGCGACGTCGCGCTCGAGGCCTGCCACACCTGCGCCGCTGCCGCCTCTTCCGATCCCAAGCTGGCCGTCGACTCGCAGCAGCCGCCGACCAAGAAGCAGTGCAAGAATGACAAGGCCGGATAAGCTACCGCCGCCGCAACATTCACTGGGTGTGCTAGGCAAGTGCGGCCTGATGATGGCGTGAGCCTCCACTCGGCCCCCCCGCCCCCGCCCACCACCCCTCCCTGTTCGCTCTTGTGTTCTCTCTGCCGCCGCATCGCCTTGGATTTCGAACCCAAGCTTGGTACACATAGACACACAACCACACAAAGATAGACATTAACATGAGAACAAGAGTGCCGGTTTACGCGCTCCAGGCTCGACTCGGGGCCAAAAAGGCAATGGGCTCAGCTCGCGCTCGCCGCAGCCTCGGCAGCGCGGCGCTGCTCGAGCTCGGCTTCCATCTTGCGCTTCTTGAGCTTGACAATGTCGGCGAGAATAAACTTGAGCGAGTGCATCGACTGTTCGAGGCGGAGGATGACAGAGGTCGAGCCAAACTTGCCAAAGTCAAACTCGATGGTCCTGCGGTTGATGACGCGGACAACGCGGAGCTGCTCGTACGAGTGGGCGAAGAGCTGGCGCTCGCGCTTCTCCGACTCGAAGAGGAAGAGGCCCGAGAGGGAGAGGAAGAGCATGCGCTTGGAGGCTGGCGGCGGGAGCGCGTAGTAGAACTTGCGCTCTAGCTCGTGGCGGATGCGGATGAGCGAGGCCACAGCCTTGGCCTTTTCCGACCGCTTGAGGCCCGAGAGCGGCGCCTTGAGCCGCGCGTCGCCCTTGGCATAGAACTCAGTGCACGGAAAGGTAAGCGAGCCGTGGACGGCGTCAAGCTTGTGGACGAGCGCGTTGGTAATCTGCGACTGAAGTGAGTCGCACCATCCGGCCAGCCCGGACGCTGACGTCGCGCGCATCGGCACAATCACTCCGTTGGAGGCAAACATGCCAAAGGCGAACTTCTTGCCGCCTGACTCAGCCGGCCGCAGTGGCCGCACCGCTCCACCAAACAGTCGATACTCGACAGCCCCGCGCGGGAGCGTGTCTGACGCCAGCACGGCCACCCTCTGCGGCTGCGACCGGAACAGCCGGAGCTTGTGGTCAGCGAGCTGGACGTACCAGTACACCCATCGGCCCTGCGGCGTCGCGCCGCGAGTCGGCACCACGCCTGGTCCTTCCTCGAGGCCCTCGGCGGCGAGACCAGATCGCGACCGACCGGCCGCCGAAGCCTCGTCGCTTCCCGACGTCTCGCCCGATGCCCGTCCCGATCTCGGCGGCACAAGCGGCGACCGCCGCCGCCCGCCGCTCCCACCCGCGCCCGAGCCTGCACCGGCCCCCAGGCCACCAGTTCCGCTACTCCCGCTCGTGCTTCCACCTCCGCCCGCACTACCACTCCCGGTGGCACCACTGGCTGGGACCGCCTCGCGCCGCTGGGTGTGCATGCACCGGATCCAGCCCATGCGGACGACCCGGATGCCCGACGACCGGATGGCATCGAGGAACCGCGCTTCGCTCTGCTGGATGTACCAGCGAACCCACTGGAAGAGCGTTGGGTCGGTGTAGCGGAACTGCCGCGACTCGCGAATGTGCGGGCCAAACATGAGCTGGAACGTGCCGGTTGTCACGCCGCCCGGTCCGACCAGGACCTGCGCGTCCTTGCTCCCGCGCCGTGATCCGTCGCCGAGACTCACCATCTGCACTCCTACAAGCGGAACGACCTCGAGTACCTTACCGCAGTTCTCGGCCGTGTAGAGCGAGAGTACTCCAGCCTCGAGCACCGCGTACACCGAGAGCCACGTCGAGCGCACAAGCGAGAGCAGCTTGAGATGCTTAGTCTTCTTGCTGCTTGACTCGGCTGTCCGCGACCGCCGCTTCTCCAGCCACCCGCTCACCCGCGGGTGCTCCAGCGCCTCCGACTCGAGCCTCGGACTCTCACTCTCCGCTGGCGCCTCGCTGCTGGCATCGAGCAGCGACACCACCAGTGTCCTGGCCTTGGGCGCACGCACACTCGGCCGCACATTGGTCGCGGTGGCGTGGGTCACGATGCTATCGCCGCCGCCACCTCCATCCGCCACGACGTCATCGGCTGCAGGCGTCGTCGCCGCGGTCTTGCCCTTGCTCTTGCCCTTGGATTTTCTCTTTGACTTGCTCTTGTCCTTGTCCTTGGCCTTGGCCTTGGCCTTGGCCTTGGCCTTCGTCTTGGTCTTGGCCTTGATCGTGGAGCTGGCACGCGAGCTGGCGGCGGCAGCGTCGGCGGCATCGGCGGCGGCAGCAGCGGCGGCAGCGGCGGCAGCGGCGGCAGCAGCCTCTGCCACTTTCTCTGGTCGGATCTTAATGGCCATGTTGAGCGAGTTGATGTACGCAATCTTAGCCTCGAGGTCCATGCCGTCGAGCGACTTGTGCGACACGCGACCGTGGCTGATTTGTTCCGGCGCAGCCGCGGTGTCGGTCACAACACTCGCGGCTCCCGCAATGTCCTCGCCGCCCGGTCCGTCATCAGCGACAGACTGCGGGGCAGCGGGCTCGGCCTCGGGCTCGGCCTCGTCCGGATCCTCGGTCTGGTATGCCCGGGCGCCCGAGCTCGACTCGGAGCCCGAACCCGAGTCTGAGCTCGAGTCGTCTGAGCCCGAGTCCGAGCCTGAGACCGCAGACGGGACCAGGTGGATGCGATCGTCGTCAGATGAGGTGTGCAGCGGAGCCGAGAGCAGCGTCCGCGAGTTGTCGCCGTCCGAGTCGTCAGCAACGTCGTCCGACTCGAACAGATCGTCCAGATCGTCAAAGTCGTCGAGCGTCGAGCCCTGGCCCTGGGTTCGCGAGCCAGAGACCATCGACGATGACGAGAGCGTCCTGCGGATGCGGAGGTACTTGACCGATGGCCCGGCGTTCTCCTCAGAGCTCGACGACGAGACGTGCGAGTCGAGGAAGGCGGTTGACGTTGACGACTCGGACCACAACGCCGAGTCGTACTCGAATGTCCGTCCTGTCCCGCCCACCACCGCCTTGGGTGAGAGCGGCTGTGGCTGCAGCTGTAGCTGTGATTGTGGCTGTCCCTGTCCGTCGCCTGACGCCGTTGTCTGCAGCTCGGCTGTTGACGCTCCGCTTGGCAGCGGGAGCCTGTTGACGCTCATGGCTCCTGACGGGCGGCCGGAAGGTGTGGAGGCCGGGGGCGAGGGGAGCGGAGGTGGTGGTGGCCTTTCCCAATGCCGCACCAACGCCACACCGAGAGCTGTGTCGGAGAGAGGGGGAGAGAGGGTGGGGGGGGGGGAGGGGGAGGAGGACGAGGCGGTGAGGCTCTCTGTCGCTGCGGGCGTGTTCGTTGCTGATTTGGCACCCGCGCGCGCGTGCCGAGGCCGGCCGCCGAATGGGCGGGAGGCGATGGTAGAGGCAGGAGAGGGCTAGTGGTACAGCACGGGCGTTCATTGCAGGTGGCCAGCGTAAGCGAGCAGAGCTCGACATCGGCAGCTCTAATGACGGCTGTCTCACTCTGTGGATGCGACAGTGAGCCGCCGGGCATTCGTTCCAGAACCACTTTCCGCGCGTGGATGTGTGAGACGGGAAGCGAGACTACAGCTTGTCCTTCTTCTTTTCGTACTGAGCAGGCGTCCAGGTCTTGAGGGAGAACGCGTGAATGGCCTTGATCTCGTCGGCCACCGCATCGTTGACCATGCGATGACGATCGAGCAGTGCCACACCCTCAAAGGCCTCGGACACCACAATGACATCAAAAGACTGACCGCAGCCTCCAGACACATCCTGGACATCCTGTATCCTCCATCCACACACACCCCATCCGCCACACACCCCATCCACACACAGCCATCATCACGTCCCCGGGATTCGTCGCCAACCCCCATGGCCAAAGAGCCACATCACCACCGATCCGCCGCCACATCGCCCCATCACCAACCCATCAACCAATCCCAATCCCAAGTATCATCCCCCTCCATGCCACCGTGAGTCCCCCCCCCCCCCTCCCATCACCTTCCCCATCCCCCCCCCTCCCCCTCCCCTCCACTGCGACCCGGAACACGACCCAATGTCACCCAAGCCCGTACCAGGAACACAGGCGAGAAAGCAGCCTGGATCTTGGCCTTCAGCTCGTCAGTACCCACACTCATTGCTTCCTTCTGTTTCTACCTAGCGACAAGTGTCCTCCACCCCAAACTCAAACCCAAGCCCAAGCCCACCCACAGTGCCCGT